TGTGTCTCTGTGTGTGTGTGTGTCTGTGTGTGTGTGTGTCTGTGTGCGCGTGCGCGCGTGTGTGTCTATGTGTGTGTGTGTGTGTGTGTGTCTCTGTGTGTGTGTGTCTGTGTGTGTGTGTGTGTCTGTGTGCGCGTGCGCGTGTGTGTGTGTCTATGTGTGTGTGTGTGTGTGTGTGTGTGTCTCTGTGTGTGTGTCTGTGTGTGTGTGTCTGTGTGTGTGTCTGTGTGTGTGTCTCTGTGTGTGTGTGTCTGTGTGCGCGCGCGTGTGTGTGTGTGTGTAGGGGGATGACCTTCTGAGCCACACATTCAGGCCTGGCTGTGACGTCAGTTCTCAAGATTGTTATATTTGAGCTGGCTCAGCTGCTGGTGATAACTGTTCCTAGAATGTATTGCCTTGTGGGTACCTCACTGAACAAATACAAGCCTTCAGCAAATCAACAACCCCTGCATTAAATCTCCTAATTTAATATCTCTAGCAAAGTTTCGATATTCTGACTGAAGTGGAAATGAAAGTGTTAGTGGTTCAGTCGTGTCTGCCTCTTTGCGACCCCGTGGACTGTAGCCAGCAGGCTCCTCTGTCCATGGAATTCTCCAGGCGAGAATACTGGAGTGCATTGCCATTCCCTTCTTATGGAGATCTTCCAGGCCCGGGGACTGAACCTGGGTCTCCTGCATTGCAGGCAGATTCTTTACCAGCTGAGCCGCCAGGGAAGTCCATAGACCTTAATTTATCGAATCACCTTTATTTCATAAGAAGATGTTGTTTGGTTTTAGTTTTCATCAGGATTGGTGTCAAATTTCATTCCTTCATTAATATGAATCAATTTCAATAACACGATGCTCTCCTCCTTAACTGTGCTAATGTCCTGTTTGAGTATCCAGATCATGCTAATCTGGTAGAATATGTTTTCCTAATCTCTGACAGACTTCTCGGCTTAGAGACATCTTGTCATTGGAAGGTTGTCAGTGCCCTCCTCTTAAAGGAACAGGGTTTTGGTTTTGATAAATTATTTTGAAAATGTCATTTATTTATTTATCTAGCTGCAGTGTGTGTGCTCCACTGTGCTGACCTCTCTTTTTGTGGAGCATGCGCTCTAGTGTGCATGGGCTTGGTAGCTGTGGCTCCCGGGCTTAGTTGCCCCGTAGAATGTTGCGTCTGCCTGGACTGGGGATTGAACCTGTGTCCTCCGCACTGGCAGGCAGATTCTTAATCACTAGGCCACCAGGGAAATCCTGATAAGTTATTTTTTATTTATCGAGTTAAGTTCATTAATGTATCAGAGATCTGAAATGAGAGATTAAGCAATGAAATCTATTTTAAGAGACCTGGAGAGTAAGTGGATGAGAGAATTAGCCGAAAATGCCAGGGGGAGTCCATATGAAATTACTGCTCAGGAGGGCTGTGTTTTTTCTCCAGGCCCGTTCACTTCTGCACTATACTCACCTCAGCTCAACCCCATCTAAAAGGTACTTTTAGTGCTTTTAATAGACCAACTGTTATTATTTTTACATCTAATAGCATATATATATTATTTCTAAATCACACAAATTCTGTCTTATTCTTTGTTCACGATTATTCACATTTCACAGTGTGGTCAGCATCTGTGCTTGTTCCTTGCTCTTCGTTCATCCTTCATTAGTGTTTTTACTAAAATTTCTTCTTACAGCTCATGTTTTCATTCTGGGGTCATTTTCATTCTTTCTGAAGTACATCTTTTAGAAGGATTTTTATTTTTTTGCTGAGGATCTGTTGATGTTTTCCTTTTGAAAATTTTTTATCCCCCTCTTGTATTTTTACTTGTCACAGAATGCTACACTAACCATGACTTTTTCTTAGCATCTTGAATGTGTTACTACACAACTTTACCATGGTTGCTATTAGGGATCTGCTGTCAATGTAATTGCTAATCTTTTCCGAGTGAACTGCCTTCTCTCTGTAGAGGTTTATAAGAACTTTGTGTTTTATGCAGTTCCGTGACAATGAATCCAGGTGTGATTTCCTCTCCACGTGTCCTTCTGGTCGTGTGTTTCGCTTTTTGTATCTGTGGATTCATGCCTTTTCTTAGTTCTGAAAAAATAACCAGCCATTAACATTTATTTTCTTTCTTCCTGCCCCAGCCTCTTTGGCTGGAGTTCTGGTTGTGTGCACATGAGATTTTCTTACTTTACTCCCTGTATTTCTTCACTTCTGTCATACGTTTCATCTCATCTTTCTCTCTGCCACATTTTGGTAATTTTATCTGATTTGTCTTCCAGTTCTTGGATTTGTTTCTTAACTATCTAGTCTGCTGTGTAACTCAGCTATTGTACTGCTCATTTTAGCCATTGTGTTTTAATTTCTGGAAGCTTTATTACTCCTTTATGAAGTCTGTCTGGTCATTTTTGTGGTCTGCCACTTCTTTTTTTTTTTTTGCCACTTCTTACTCATTTTCTTATGTCATATTTCAATTTTTAAAATTTCCATATAGAATTATTTCACACTCTTATAACACTTAAATGTCAAATCTCTCTCTTTTTATGCTGCCTCTTAATATTCGTGGTTTCTTCCTGTGTTTTGGAGTGCATTTTATTTTATATTATTTTTAGTCAAGTTTTGTTTCACCTTCATGCTTGGCTGCATTTAACCTGTGGTCATTCTGAAAGATCTGAATTAAGGATTTACTTACCCAGAAAAAAGTTGTATTGCTACTACCAGGTACCAGAAGGAACTAGCAGCCTGAAATCTCTGTAATTCTTTAGCCAGGGTCTGTGACAATTGAGGTACAGTTGAACTTCAGAGTTTCGTGAGAATAGGGTGGTAACCACGGTAATCAATGGAGACGATTGTAATTGGTAATATTTCTTTCCACCTGGGACTGTAGCAGAGAAGACAGTCTATGGCACTTCCCTTGGCTTTCAGGTGGGTCCCACCCCACCTTTTTCAGGAGACATAGATCCCCAAGAACCTAGCTTCACGTGGAAATCTCAGCTTAGCTCCAACACTAGGCAGGGACCACATCCTATTCCTGACACCCCAAGCTGACAGACGCCCCAAGCTGGCATTGACCCCCAGATTCTAGCTTCTTGATCAATGTCGGCTATTCCTCTAGAGCAGCGCCAGCTTTGTGTTTGCACTATGTTCTTCTACCAACTTTTATGGTTTTGATATGTTCTTATTTATTTCTTCTTCATAGGCAATTTTAATTTCAATGTTTCGAGCCAAACATTTTTTTTAGGTATATATACTGTAATTTACCCAGAATCTGGGAGATGTTTGTGTCTGAGGCCAACTCAGAAGACCTAGTCCGTCCTGCTCTGAATATGGCTTTATATTTCAGACACAATGGAGTCAACCTGGATGGTGAGGAGCCTCGGGATCAAGAGTGGGATGAGACATCTTGAAGATGTCATTTGGTAAAGATGCGAGCCTGGGCCTGATGGTGGACGATCTCAGCTCTTTATCTTCATGATCTGATAATAACGTCTTTGGGAACCTGTCACAGGGGCTAAACAAGGGCATGTATGTAAAGTGCAGGGGCAGCGTCGTGCACGAGTTTTGCCCCCGAGTTTGCCGGGAGGACACATGGTGATGTCACTGACTGCAGTGGCCCCTCCATGAAGCTCATCTGAGGTCTCTGCCCCTCGAGACTGAACCAGGGCCTCCACTGTCGTCCCACTGCACGTGGTTCCTTCCGAAACTGCAATGACTGGGCATCACTCACGTGGTCACAGGGCAGTCATGCAGGCATTTCTGCCCCCGGTGACCAGCCCCTGAACCTAGGGCTGAGTGAGGGGCAGTGGGAGCCCCGCAGTTCTAACCATCACACTCATGTTTAGACAGTGCAAGGCGGTTTGCTGCACTGAGGGAACGTGGACACTCAGTATAATCTGTTAAAACCTTAAAGTTGGTTCCCAGACAATGGCAGTTCTTGGGCTTTGCTGAACATACAGACTTCAGGCTGGTGGCAGGGACCGCTCGCCACTCAGGTCGATGCCCCTTGCTCACATACACCCTGTTTCGGCCCCTGTGGGTGGCTAGGACCTTCTTCCCTAGAGCTGGTAGCTCTCTGGACTTTGGTCCAAGGTAAGCCGTATCCTCACTTATTCACCAGGGCGAGTCCTCAAAAGAAGTTGGAATATGACTACCTGGTCCTTCAAGGAGATTGGAACTCTGATGTTGGGTTACATGCAACAAATGTACCCTCAGTTTGGAAAAAAAAAAAGAAAGCATTATCTGTTGTGACTTTTAACATGTCTTTAGTACAGGTTGTATTAATATGGGATTTAAAGAAGATGGGTGGATACTTAGTAGCAAACCTGAAGTAATAATTGCCTCAATTTATTTTTCAGGAACCAAAATTAGAGACAAATGTGTCCCTAGTCTCCTTTCTGGAAACACAGCCTCCTCAAACCAGCTATACTTAATTTAGATAAAAAGCCATTATCCCTCCCAAGTCCTCGGGGTTTCCTGCACCTGCAGCCCTGTTACTTTGATTCATTTCTCTCTGGAATTCATCTGGATCATACGTCGTTTTCAAGGTTTGTTTGTATAATTTCAATAAACATTTGCAGGGGTCGGGGGGGGGGGCGTGCTGTTGTGGGCTCAGGGTGCAGAAAGGCTTGGGGCCAGGCGTCCAAGATTCGGGTCAGGGGAGGGAGGCACATCAGGAGCCGCCGACCTGACTCTCAGGCACGTGGTTGGTGAATTTCAGGCACCATGGGAATACAGAAGAGGTCCAGTTGAGGCTGTCTAGATGGATCCCACAGAGGAAATACGACCAAAACTGGAGGATGAGCAAGAGTGAGGGAGGCAAACCCAGAAGGAAGCGGACGCCAAGGGGAGAAATGTCAGGGAATGGTCGTGGGCAAGGCGTGAGCAGAGAACAAAGAGTGTATCCTTCAAATCAGAGTGCGTTGCGACCAAGAGAGACGCTCTAAGTCCCTGGTTGGGACCATGGGTGTGAGTCAGCGTGGACCAGGCGAACTGGGCATCTGGCCACTGCATGCGGAGGCACCCACCATCCGGCCTGACGCACACGCGCAGCGCTCTGTCGGTGCTGGGGTTGGTCCCTGGCCGTTTGTGCAGGTCAGGCCAGGCCTGGGCAACCCGAGGGAGGGCCATACCCCTGTTCGGGGCCCAGCTGCCCTGTGTCTGCCCGCAAGCTGGATCAGGCCTCCCACCCGCAGCCCCGGGACTCTCCCGCGTGGAGGAAGACAAAAGCGACTCCTCGTTCTTAACTCCTCACCTTCTTTCACATCCATCTGGTGCCTGTTGCTCTTTGCTTTGCGCCAGTTCTCATGAGATTTTAATAAAAATGCTTGGGCATCCATTTGCTCAGTCCTTTTGATGCAGAGACCCATCTACTATCTGGAGTGACAGTGAGCATGCGGGTGGTGGGGAGGTGGTCAGGAAGAAGCAGGTGACCTGGCAGAAGGAGCTCGGGTGCTGGGATCCCTGGAATCTAGTCCCACGTGCCTTCTGGAGGGGGCAGTGCTCTGATGCTTTCTGAGATCCTTCTGCTTGCTGCCCAATTTATTCCTCACTCTGCAGTGAGGACAGCGTCGCCGGGCCATCATGGGGACTTAGTGGGAATGCCAGGTGGGATGGAGTGATAAACCACTCCCGTAAATCAATCTCTTGAAGTTTTAAGATTGCTTTTTCTACTTAATCCCAAGGAATTTCAAGTCAAAGCTCCCTTTAATGTGAGCTAGAACCAGAGCCAGCTACTTCAGGTCCAGGGCGTACGTTTCTTGTCAATTTTTACTTATAGAGAAGATGGTGGGACAAGAGCAAATAATAATAAACTACACAGTTTCCTTTATTATAAATTCCACACGGACAGCTGATTCTCATGGAAGGCTTTCACCGACTCTTGCTGGTCTTGTATAAGCAGCCAACTAAAATTGCAATGGATGAATGACAGTAGGTCGGGGCAGAAAGCGGGTTGATATTTCCTTTGCATTGTGAGTAATACATAAGATAAAAGCAAGGCAACTAACACCGCCAGCCAGTGACCGGAGGGGCTCCTTCCTGAAGCTGGAGGGCCATGTTCAGGTTCTGGAGGGATCTTTCTTCGTCCTCTATGTGATGCCCTGCACAGCAGCTATAATCACACACACTTTTTTTCACTCCTCTGAACCCTGGGCATCCTCTCCATCAAACTTCCAAACAGACCACAAAATGGCAAGCCACCTGGACCTGTGATATTTGTCAATTTCCACGGTGTGAATATTCACACCGCAGCAGATTTCAGAACACAAACCTGATTCCATTCTTACGGCTGTCAGTCAGTAAGGATGGGGGGAAGGGATAGTTAGGGAGTTCGGTACGGACATGTGCACGCAGCTATATTTAAGACTGATTACCAGCAAGGATCTACCATATAGCATAGGGAACTCTGCTCAATTTTATGTGAGTCTGGGGAGTTCGGGGGAGAATGGACACATCTGTATGTATGCCTGAGTCCCTTTGCTGTCCGCCTGAAACGATCACAACATTGTTAATTGGCTATACTCTAATACAAAATAAAAAGTAAAAGAATGTGATTTCCTTGAACGGGAAGGGGGGTCAGTGTTTGGAAGTGATGCTGCGTCCATATGGTTATACTGCGATCCACCACACAGGAAAAGCAGATGTAAACAAGAGTTCAGGAGTGAAAATCCCACTGAGATGCGGTGAAGATATTAGGAGGTGCGGAGTATGCTGAGTAAGCTATTAGGAGGAGCTATTAAGTATGCACTGTCCTTACCTCATGTTCTTAACAGTAGGTTTACACAGAGGCTTGCTAAGTTGCTTCAGTCATGTCCGACTCTGCAACCAAATGGACTGTAGCCCGCCAGGCTCCTCTCAGCATGAAATTCTCCAGGCAAGAATACCAGAGTGGGGTGCCTCCTCCGGGGGATCTTCCTGACTCAGGGATCAAACTCACATCTCCTCTGACTCCTCCACTGAAGGCAGATTCTTAACTGCTGAGCCACCGGGGAAGCAATGCCTATTGTCTTAGCTTCCTAGGGCTGCTTTAACAAATGACAACAAATGGGGTGGCTTAAAGCAACAAACTTTGATTTGCTCACAGTTCTGGAAGTCATAAGTCTGAAATCAGGGTGTCGACAGGGCCATGCCCCACCCCCATTCTCCCCGCTTTGGGAGGAATCCCGCCTGCACCTCAGGCTTCTGGAGCTCCAGGTGCTTTTGCCTGTGGCTGCATCATTCCATCTCTGCCTCCGTCTTCACACGGTCTCCTCTTCTGAGCATCTGAATCTCAAGCCTCCTTGTGCCTTTCTCTTATAAGCCCAACACCCGCCCAAATCTAGCATGGCCTCATCTCAGGAGCCTTAACTTAATATATCTCCAAAACCCTTTTTCCAAACAAGCAAGCTCACGGGGACAGGCTCCGAAGGCCCACAGTTCAACCTGCTGCACCTACATCTAAGCAACTCTCTCATAACATGCCTGTAAAACTAACAACCTTCTCTCGTAAGCCAGCCCTGGAACACCGCCAGGAAGGGTGTCCGTTTCCATAACACTTCAGTGAAAATAAAGCAAAGCCCATCTGTCCTCTTGCTCCATCACGTGTTAATAGTTACCAGACCCCCACCAGGTCCCCAGCAGGCAGGGTGCCTGCTCCCCGACGGCCCCGTCGGATCTGGTGGGAGCAGGTAGGGGGCGTCATCCTCCAGGGAGGAGGTGGACGGGGTAAGTGGGCTGGAGGGACCTCCCCGGCAGCGGCAGCTGGGTCAGAGCCCAGAGGACAGGAGGGGCCCTGGGGGGAGGCTCAGTGCCCCTGACCGCTGTGTCTCTGGAGCACCGCTGCTCGCTCACCTTGAAGATGGCCACGCGGGTGATAGTTCTGAAGGGCCATAAAGGGTGGGAGGGCAGTTGAACGGCGTCCCCCAGACCCCCCTGCAGCCGGCCTGCGGGGCAGATGTCGCTGAACGGGGCACCATCCTACTGCGGCTGGCAGCCTGGCTCCCCGGGCGCCCACTGAGCTGATGGTGGTGGGCTCCACGCCTGAGTCATCACTGGTGAGAAGCTGGGGGAAAGCAGGGAAATTGTCCAATCCGGTGACATTTTCCTTGACGGGGGAATCCATGGCTACAGGGCTTCTGCCAGGGTCTGAAAAGGAAAGCAGGTGGGAGCTGGAGGGGAGACGGGCCCGCATGGTGGGCGAACCGGTTCTGCTGCAGGACAGGCCGGGACCTGCCCGAGGGCTCACCCTGAACCTCGGCTTCCTCCCCCACCAGACTCTGCTGCGCTCGCTCCTTCCAGGGCGTGCTGGAGGACTGAAAGGGGGAAGGCACGAGAATAACACACCCCCAAGGTCAGGGTGATCGGATTTGCTGGATACCAGATCCGAGAGGATGGGGTCAGGCACAGCCAGTGCGGGGTCGGGCGGAAGCTTCAAAGTCTAGTCCCTGGCTGGGGGCTGCAGGAAAGCTGTGTCACTCACCCTGGCAGGTGGCCCGGCCCTCCCCGTGGCCCCGACAGGAGCCGGTAGGAGAGCAGAACCCAGGTGTCCTCCCCCGTCTCCACCTGCAGCAGGTGAGCTGGTGTCTGCCGGATGTGGGCATCACATGGGGGTTTCAGAATCAGGACAGGGGTGCTGCGGAAGTCACCCCACAGGGGGCCGACACAGGACGCCCCTCGAGGGGCCATCAGCAGCTTCCTCCCCACATCGGAGGGGTGACAGTACAATCCATCCCCAAGGGTGTTGTTGAAGATGAAATATGTCAAAACATGTCCAGGTAAGCACCACCCACTTCAAATGCCAGCTCAGGGGCTGGAGCCAAGGTCTCCCATTTCTTATATCTCTGTTCTTTCCATAAAGAAAAATACAGTTTCAGAAAAAAAAAAAAAGACACTGTTTGATCCTTAAACCCCAAGACTACTCTGCCCTGAGTCAACTGCTGCCCACACCTGGTCCCCGTCTGTCCACGATGGGGGTGGCCCAGTTAAGCTCCGGTTGAGTCCAACACTTGGAACTAATGAAAGAGCAATCCCTCAACACACACAAGCATTTCCTTCTCACAGCTGCTTTTGGATGGAGATTCATTGAGTCTCAACCTGTTGTCTCTCATCGTTTGATGGGCTGACTCACCCTTGGTTGGAGGCACTCAGGACGTTCTTGCCCAGTTCGCGGATAAGTGGTTATCATCAACCAAACAACGTAAGGTCAGTTTTCCAATGCAGTGCGTTGACGTTTTGAGTTTGTCTGATTGCTGTGTGTGCGGTATTTCTGAGGGAAGTGACTGCTTTTCACTAGATTGAGCACCTCCCTGAAAACCATCATCTGATAAGCACTCTTCCAGGACCTGCGATGTGCTAGCTGAGGTGTCAAGGGCGCCCGGGGCCTGCACCCCACCCTCTCGACCTCACAGAGGGTGTGTGCCACACAAGGAAATCATGCCTGTGATTGCCACTTTGCCTGGAATAGCAGCCCAGTCAGGTGGAGTGAACCGAGGACCAGGCTTTTCAAAGACCTCTCCCTCTCTGCTCCGTAGACCTGTCTTGCTGGGGCTGCATAGTGAGAGACAGGTTGGACGAGGCCAACAGGTCCGTTTGCAGAGGGATTTTCATTCTGGGCCCCTGAGAGTGGACCGTGTGTCATGGGAGATGGAGCCTTGTCTTTTGGGGGAAAGGTGTCGAGTTGCCCTTGCTCTCAATGGTTCGGTTGGAGGTCTGGAGGCAGGGGGATGTCCACAGTGACCCATCAAAGGCACATCTGACCTGAGGGGCAGGGGCACAAGTCAGCGGCCCTGGGCTTCACTGTTGGCAGCTCTGGCCTATGTGGCTCTTACTTGGGGCTGACAGTGCTGCCTGAGGAACTGGCTTGGGTCCCACCAAGACCAGTCCTGGCCCGAGTCGTGCATCTCCTGCTAGAGCCCAGGGATTGGTCATCACCAGGCACAGAGTTTCCCTGGTGTCTCCGTCCCCACCTGAGATTCTCTGTCAACAAGGCAAAATGTCAATAAATAGATGATAAATGTAAAGCGAGGCCAAGAGCCTGCACTCTGTAATCTGACAAAGTTTTAATCTCATGTCTGTCTCAAAAGCTGCAAGGTACTTTGGCCATGATTTATCTTTAGATTTTTTTTTAAAGAAATTGCTCTCAACTGTGTTTGTGCTTCAGAAGAGCCACAGACACAAAAAAATGCAATCTTTATTATAACACATCATTTTATTTCCTGCCACGTGAGAAAGACCCAAGGCAGAAATTGTGATTGTCCAGTTATTTTTACATTCAAATGAATGGCAAATCAGCCTGTCAGGACAGCGTGTCCTGTCTTAAGCATTTAGCTCATTCTTACAGGAATCAGGGAGCCAGATGTCTTGGGAGCATTTGGACTCACGCCTCTCATGTGGCCTCAGGACAACACCTGGTAGTTTTCCATCCCGTCGTCTTCCTGGACCAGGTCAGCATCAGGACCAGGAAGCTGGCAGCCAAGGCTGGATGCGAAGGCGGTGACTCAGGGATGCTAAGACGGGACCCAACCAGAGACCTGCCCTCAGCACTCCCCTCACCCTCTACTTCCAGGTCAAGCTTCTACCCACGACGGATGCGGACACTCAAGGTCAGGGTGGCCTGGGAGCTCCCAGGACGAGCCTGGGGAGGCAGCAGTCGGGATGCCCTGAGGATCCTTGCTGTGTCTTGAAGATGCTGAGAAATGACTTAGAACGAGGAGGGTGGGAGAAGGCAAGGGGCACCCTGAGGAGGGTGTCCTGGGGGAGTAAAGGCGTGGAGGTCTGCACGGAAGGAAAGCTGGCTGCAGAGTCAGATGGCACCAGGGAGCAGACGGAGGCTGCACCGTGTAACGAGAGCATCTACCCTGGGCCTGTGCTGGCCGTGGTTCGAGCCCCTCTGTCTGAGTCGCTGATGATGGCACTGTGATGTAGGGAGGCCACCGCCCTGATTACTGAGGCCCAGGGCCACGCTACGGCATGCCCGGACTCAGTGTCCAGGCAACAGCAGAGCCGGGGTTGGAGCCTGGGTGGCCGGTTCTGGAGCTGAGTGCTTCCTACCCCCCAGAATGTAGGAAACTTCTGGGCAGGGAGGAGCAGGGACGCAGCTGGGACAGGATCGGGGCATTTCATAGCTCTCAGCCCAGCTCCCCCGAGTCTGTCTTCCTGCTTGGCCCCATCTCACTGGTGGGACCACCAAGCCCAGCCTGGAAACCACTCTGGGCTCTTCTCCCTCGCAGCGGCCCCTCCTTCCCAGCCCAGGGACCACCAGGCTCTGCTACGCGAATCCGCGCCCTCCGGCCCCGCCGCCTGACCCTGGCTCTGCTCTCTTCAGTCTGCGTTCCCGTGAAAAGCTCACGGCGCTGGCTCCATCCTGGGGGGCTCTTGTGAGGGCGCACAAACCAGCCCGCGAGTGGAGCCTGGCATCAGGCACCCTCTCGCAACGTCCTGCTTCAGGGTGGACTCCACATGTCCTCTCTGCCCCTTCGTTTCCTTCTGTCCCATCACTAGCTGCGTCCTCTGCCTGCCTTGTGATCAGCGGACTGTGCGACTGAGTGCTGGCCAGTTTTTAGGACTGGCCCCTCCCTAACCCTCTTGTGATCTCTGCTCCTTCATTTTTTGTTGTTTTGACAGCCAGCTGAAGAGAGTGCAGCAGAGAACATTGAGACCCTAGGATGCTGGTGTCTCAAGGGAAAAGGAGGCTGCACCCATGGGTGTCTGCATGGAGACCTCCCAGCCACCCCCACTGGCCCACTGTGGACCAGGGCAGGATGGACCAGCTGTATTATGAGACAGTATCACCCTCTTTACATTTTAATGTCTAAGCATTTATTTCTTTCATCAGAAAAAGTAATACATTAAAGTGGAATACATATATATTTGCAAGAAGTTTGGATTTTGCACTGAGGTGCTCAAGGATAACAGAAAAAAAGATAATTGAGAAAAAAGAGAGCAATGATCTTACTTCTCTATAAACACTCACATTAATTCCAGTTACGTTGGAATTAATGATCAGTATGAAACTTCAATAGCAAGTTTGCCAGAAACCAACTGACAGAATACAGGTGGGTCTACGCCTGGTCTCTGTTCTGCTTATTTGTCTGTTGGTTTCTACCTGAGCCTGAATCACATTGTCCTGATGACTGCAGCTTTATATTAAAGTTTGAAATAAGATAGTGTAAAAATCCTCCAAATGTGTTTTTTTTTGAAATTTCACCAGCTATACAGACCTTTATATTTTTACATATAGTTTGGCTTCAACCCGTCAATTTCTGTTTAAAATATTGATTGTAATTACTTTATTTTTATTTGGCTGCATAGCACAGCTTCTGGGATCTTTGTTCCCTGGCTGGGGATTGAGCTCAGGATGTCAGCAATGAAAGCCTGAAATCACTGGACCTGCAGGGAATTCCCAGTTGGGATTACTTTAAATTCATGGATCAACAAGAGAAAGTTTTCATTTTAACAATGTTTGCTGATTTTTCTAGATAAAATATCATTAGGGATTTTAAGTTAATTTAGTTTTCATCATATAAACTCTGTGGGATTTGATTTGGTTGGCATTTATTGTGCCCAGTTTATGGGCCAGCATCAGGTCCGTGTTGGTGAATGGGTTCTGCACACTTGAGAAGTGAGTGTTTTGCTGTCGCTGGCTGCAGACCCTACGAATATCAGGTAGGTCTGCGGCGGGTAATGGTATGTTCAGGCCCTCTTTGTCTTCACTGTGTGTGGTTTTGCTCTATCAATTGCTGAGAGAAGGTGTTAGTTTCCAACTATTGTGATGGAGCTGTCTTTTTCTCTCTTGCATGCTGTCAATTTTTGCCTCATTTATTTTGAAGATCTGTCCTTAGATGCATGCACACCAGATTTTGGTTTGCGTTTTTTAAAGTCTTAATGAATGTTTCCTGTTTCCACTATGAAACAACCCTCTTCATTTCTATGATATCCCCTCTCTTTGAAGTCTGCCCTGCCTGATATGAACGTCATTGCACAAATGTCTCTTGCTTATTGCTTGCATGTCAGGCCTTTTGCCATCCTTTTTCAATCTATCTGTGTCTTTTCATTTGGAACATCCCTCTTGTAGACAGCCTATGCATATTTTGCTTTTTCAATCTAGTCTGGCAGACTAGATTGGATTGTTTGATCCGTTTACGTTTAATGTAACTGTGGATCTGTTTGGCTGTGTGCACCTCCTGCTATTTGTTGTCCGCCTCCCCCTGCTCTCCGCTTCTGTCTCCTTCTTGCCTGTTTTCTTTGGTTTAGTCAAATATACATATATTTTTGTATTCTACTCTATGCCCTCAATTGGCTCCTGTCACACCTGTTTTTTTCTCTCTTACTGCTTGCTCTAGAGATTGCAATACTCATTTTCAATTTATCATAATTTATCTGAGTTAAAGTATGCAAGAGCCTTCTATTCAGCCTTCCTGCCTCTTGTGTTCTTATTGTTGTATATATTATTTGCATATATGGTACACACATCAAAATAGATCACTGTCTGTCACTTGGACTGCAAGGAGATCAAACCGGTCAATTTTAAAGGAAATCAACCCTGAATATTCATTGGAAAGACTGATGCTGAGGCTGAAGCTCCAATCCTTTGGCCGCCTGATGTGAAGGGCTGATTCATTGGAAAAGACCCTGATGCTGGGAAAGATTGAGGGCAGGAGGAGAAGGGGCGACAGAGGATGAGATGGTTGGATGGCATCACTGACGCGATGGACATGAGTTTGAGTGGGCTCGGGGAGTTGGTGATGGACAGGAAGCCTGGTGTGCTGCAGTCCATGGGGTCGCAAAGAGTCAAACATGACTGAGCAACTGAACTGAACTGTTGTTAAACTGGTGGTCTTTATAATTATCTTAGCTTTACAATTGGTCTAAAGTTTATAACAGATTTATAGATGGGAAGATTAGCCCAGCATCATGTCCTTCATCATTACCAGAAGCCAGAAGTCATATAATCTGTTCTAGTATGAGTCACCTTAAAGCGTTGATATATTTTTCTGTGAGTCATTGAATTCCCCCAATATTTACATTTCTGCTTCTGAAGGGCACCTACACTAGTTTGAACAATGTAGTCACAGCCTTTTTTTATAACAACTTTATTGAGATATGACAAAAAGATCACTCCTTTAAAATCTACAATTCAGTGGATTTTAGTAAATTTTCAGAGTGTGTGACCATCACCACTATCTCCTTTAGAGCATTTTCATCACCTCCAAAGGGAACTCTGTGCCCATTAGCCACTGCTCTCCCTTCTCGCCCAACCCCATGCCTGGCATTATACCTACTCTCTGTGCATATCTGCATATTCTGGACATTTTGTATAATTACAGTCATATGCTATGTGACCTTTTGTGACTGCCTTCTTTACTTAGCACAATGTGTTCAAGATTCATTCATGTTGCATTAATAACCAGCATCACTACTTCACTCCTTTTCATGGCCAAGCGCTATTCCATTGCATGGACTTCAGCTGAGCTACAGAACATCAGCAAATCCACGTATATGGTCACCTGCTCTGGTAGACCTCCCAACCCAGCTTTTAGGTGTAATAAAGCTGCCACTTCTGTTCCAGCCATCTGAATTCCAAACCTCTCTCTAACTTGAATCACAACAAGGGTGAGGATAATAGAGCATATTTGATAAGACTCTTCTCTGCGACATGAAGTAATGATGGTTAACATGATAGCATCAATCATATCTGAAAGATGGGCTCTTGGGTTCACGTTACAATCTTCACAGTAATTTTATATATGGGTAGAAATAATTTTTACTGAAACTGCTTTAGTGGACTTGACTCTGAAAAGGAAAGATTACAGGCACATTAAGAAATACCCCATTTAATTGTGTTAATGCAATTTTAAAATTCAGCTCATGGATTTATAGCTCCCTGAAGGGTGAGAAAGGTAAAGGAATACACGAGACGAGACATGGCGAATTTATTCTGCAGCATAATGCTGGTTTCCCTCCACTGGAAAATCAAAGCTAAGGTCACATCGATGCGCGTGGAGCCGGGGAGGTAAGTGTCAATTATCAAAGTCTGTGTCACAAAACTGAGAGAATTTGCTACCGATCCACACAACCTAGAAAGGAAAAGATATTGATTTGTAGAATGGTCAATATTTTCTCCCTATAAAGCAAGAGGAATTGAGCCAATTGTAAATAAATTCTCACACTTCTCAAAGAAGCCGCTGGAAGATGCGTCATCTGAGTTTGATGTGCTAGTCAGGGGATGGGGAGCAGAGCCTGGCAGCTGGGTTTCTGCTGGACACAGAGGAGGACTGGGACCTGGCCATGGTCATCACTGTGTGGTGACCCTGCCGGTGACCTGGATGGAGTTCTGAACTTGCCTCTTGGCCAAAAGCAAATGGGTGCAAAAATCTCAAAAGGGTGGAGGAAAGACTGGCTCGCTCCTTCCTACTCCGACCACTGGCACTCAGCACCTGTGGACAACATCCTAGGACCCAACCCTGTGGCGAGCCTACAGCCTGAGTCCTCGCGTGTGACGGACCCCAGTCCTTACGCTCCTGAGGACACTCCACCTCTGGGCCAAGAGTGGGAGAACCGGAGTGCGAGCTGCCTGTGCCCTTCCATCTCTTCATACCTCCCAACGCAACAAATTAACGGGCCTCTTTCCTCTCTTTTTTGTTCCACAGTGGAATTCACTTTGTTCTTATTGCTAGATTTAATTTTTTAGGGGAAAGACTTTATTGATGCCCTAACACTGAAGATGTATAAATGTAGTTTCCAAAATTTTATCCTGAGGGTTTCTTTTTTCATTTTAATCTATTTTTCTGTATGGTGTGGAAGGAGAGCTCAGCTTTATTTCCTTCTATTTGGATGATAAAGCATCATTTTTATACCGATTTAAAGGATTTTCTTGGTTTTATATTAAATTCCTCAAAATATTGTGTTCTATTTCTGAATATCCTTCTAGCCCACTCACCTCTCTCTGTGTCTGTTTTTAGGCCATTTCAGAATTTTGGTGATGACAAGGGTGAGCGTCTGGTCCGTGGAGGACCTTCTCACTATTTTTTTGTCATTTAGTCTCTTAGCTAACTTTGAACGTTTATTGTGCCGTGTGATCTTTGTAATTACTGTATTCTAATTTTTTTTTTAAAGAGAGCTTTACATACATCCACGTTCATTCTCGTTATCATTCGTTCTCCACCGTTTATGGCTTCTCAGCAGGTTCCAGGCCTGCTTCAGACGCTGGGGTTCAGGTCGAGAGGGGATAGATGACCCTGGCAGTGCTCACATCACAGCTGGAAAGAAACACGACCAGGGAGACGAGTAGAAGGTGCATCGAGTTAAAGTTCCGAGAGCAGTAACGCAGGGGCGAGGGGGTGAGGGCTGAGGTCATCCTTTGCGCTCAGCCCTGAAGACGGTCCTAAACTCCGGAAAGCAGGGGCCTCATCCAGGGCCACGGAGCGCACTCTGCCCCCTGGTTTGACATCCACAGATTAGGGGGGGCAGGCGTGTTATTCACCAGGCTGCTGAAGCAAAACACCGTGAACGGGTGGCTTAGAACAACAAAATGTCTTGTCCCACGGTTCCGGGGGCTGGAAGTCCAAACTCAGGGTGTCAGGAGAACCCCATGCCCTCCAAAACCCTGGGGTGAAGGGTCCTTCCTGCCTCCCCCAGCTTCCATGCTGCCAACAATCGTGGGTGCATTTCAGCTCACAGATGCAACCTTGCCATTCTCCATCCTCACCTTCTTCCCTGTGTCTGTCCAAATCCCCTCTTTTCTTAGGACACAGTCTTATGGGATTAGGATTCACCCTCAAGATCACAGCGTAGCTTGGTTTCCCTTGTAAAGGCATGGTTTCCAAATGAGGCACGTTCAGCAGTGCCTGGGGTCATGGCTCCAACGTACCATTTTGGGACACAAAATTTAATAACTAACAGCAGGGTTTTGTTGGGCATACAGAATTCATCTGCTTTTCAAATGTAAAGTCTGTGTCAAATGTGTAAAGTGACAAGACGGCCCCTTGTCGCCTGCCGGAGGCCTGCGCATCCCAGGGCTCCTCGTTCCCCGTCAAGGTCAGTGCCGTGGTCTGCAGACGCCAAGCCTGCGAACTCCCGACACCTCCGGCCGTGTCCCCACAAAGACGCCCAAGGCCCACTGTCCACGCACGCCTACATGTTCAGCAAAGTTATCTTCCCTTTCTGCCTTCTTTGGATTTGTCATGTTCTTTCTCTCATTTTTCAGGAGGACATAGCAGTCATTAATTTTAACGTTTTTCCTTTGTCGAACATGTTCACGTGAAGATATAAATTTCCTTCCAAGTCCTGCTGTAACAGCACCACGCAGGTTGTGATAAGTAGCAGTTCCATTACTTTTTTAGCCTCGAGTATGTTCTCTTTCCCCTCACATATTTCCCTTCACCCACAAATCATTTGGCAATGCATTTTTATCGAACCACCGTCAGAAACGATGATCTGCATGATATTGATCTTCTAGTAGCTTTGAGACTTTGCAGGGTTGGGGACATGGGCGAGCTTTGTAACTTCCATGGCTCCTGGAGGAGAGGACGTTGCCCTGGGCTGTGGAAGGTGTGGCTCAGTCATCAGCATCCTTATTACAATGCCCTTCCAGGCTTCTGTGTCAGGGGCTTGGCAGACTCTTCTGTAAAGCGCAGACAGTAATATTTCCAGCTCCCTGTCCCTGTGGTCCAATCACCCCTTTCCTTCATTGTGGCTTGAAAGCAGTCATGGGCAACACTACCTAAACGGGGGTATTGTGCGCCGATAGAACTGTATGAACCACAACAGACTTGTTCTGTGTCCTGAAGGATGTCCATCTGCTCGATCTGTTACCTGGTTAGCGGTGCCTTCAAACCAGCCATGGTGGGGTGTGCACGTTTCAGAATTTCCTAACACTCCACATGGATCTGCTGTATCTGTTTCAAGGCTACATTATTAAGTGCATAGTGATTCAGGTTTATTGTCTTAGTCTCCTGAATTAATCCTTCGATCATTGTCAGGCAGCCCTCTTTATTCAGAATGATAGTTTTAGCCCTAAGGTTTGTTTTATGTAGTATCAGTGTGCTTTCTCTAGTTATTCTGGGCTTTGTTCTTAATTTTTATTGTTGGTCTAGTGTGGGTTATTTCTGTTTCCGCACTGTCAGTCATTCATTGTCTCAAGAACCTTTCAGACACTTGTGAACAACGTGTGTGGATGCCAGCTTTGTTTATTCTCTTAGGACTTTATATTAGGAGGGGCTTCCCTCATAGCTCAGTTGGTAAAGAATCTGCCTACAATGCAGGAGACCCTGGTTCGATTCTTGGGTCAGGAAGATCTGCTAGAGAAGGGATAGGCTACCCACTCAGGTATTCTTGGGCTTTCCTTGTGGCTCAGCTCGTAAAGACTCCGCCTGCAATGCGGGAGACCTGGGTTCCATCCCTGGGGTGGGAAGATCCCCTGGAGAAGGGAGAGGCCTAACTCCAGTATTCTGGCCTGGAGAGTCCCATGGGTCGCAAAGAGTCAGACGCGATGGAGCGACTTTGACTTAGATTGGGCGTTCAGCCCTTCTGCATGAATATAAGTGGCTGACATACTGGGGTTCACGTTTACCTTTCTATTCTGTGCTTCCTGTTTGCCATGGTTTTGTTTAGTTTCTTGATTTTATCTCTCTTCCGTGTGTTGGTTTTATTGAGTTGTCTTATTTCCTTCCTTTTTGTTTATGATTTAAGCATTATACATTTTATTTTATTTTTTAAAAATTTATGGTTATCCTTAACACTTCACCATGTCCGGGCTAAGTAAAGCCAAGCTTGAGTGTCCCTTTCCTCCTCCAAAAGTACAAGGGTGTCAGACAGCCCTGACCGTGACCCAGTGCCCCGTCTCTCACCTCCGGTGCTAATTATCTTTGTCACGCCTGGGGTGTTTGCGTGTTTCCTTTTTGTTTCAAAAGGTCCCTGAGCTGAGGCCACCACGCACTAATGCCTTTTAACCTGGTTTCCCGTAGGTGGTTAGAGCTCCTCTTAGGAATGGGTGCTAACGCCTCCCTCACATCTTGGGTCACAGAGGGTAGCATTCAGCCTCAGTCAGGTGCAGTTCAGTCGCTCAGTCGTGTCTGAATCTTTGTCACCCCGTGGACTGCAGCTCCCCAGGCCTGCCGACTCCTGAAGCTTGCTTAACTTAACTCTCCTCTGTTACCTCTCAGAAACTGCTGTCTGCTTGCAGGGCTGGTACATGACTCGACTCCCGGGACAACGCCTGGGGCTGACACGCGTGGCCTGGTGATGCTGAGCTGAGTGGGGTGTCCACAGCCTGCCCTCCATCTTCCTCTCACATCCAGCTGCTCCCGCACCAGTGGAATCACTGTGGAACTGCAGTAAACACCTCACCACCCCCTCCCCGTGATGGCCCCAGGTCCCCACCCACGGACTCCAACTCCCTTCCCTCTTTGGGGTCGACCGTGCTCCCCTTGCTCCCACAGCTGAGTGTCCTGTGACAACCAGACCTCCCTTCCGTGGCGAGACAGCCACGATGGTTCCCCGAGTCCCCTGGGTGGAGCAGGGTGAGCCTTCTGCCAGGACGAGGCCACACCCTGGTTCCAGTCCAGCTGTGTCCCCCCCTCAGGTGGTTCAGCCTCTCAGGCCTCCGCTGACCCATCTTTGCAAGGGGACAGATCGAGCCAAACCAAAGGGGTTTTGCTTTTACAGGAAGGTTACAGGCTCCAGTGGAAACAGTCTGCAGGAGCTTCCACGTGTGTGTAGCCCTTTCCGCTGCCTCCTTCTGGGAGTGAGGCCTAGCAGATGAGGGTGGTCCAGCCCCACCCCAGTGTTGGCAGAGCTCCGCCATCCCCATGCCAGAGCCCCACGGCCCACAGGCCCCCGGCCTGATGACACGGCTCCGTGAGCCAGTCCTCTCTCCCAGGAAGCTTGTGGGAAGTGGGCCATCTCCCCAGGTTGCCTTCTGCGCTCCCAGTGAGCTGACATGGGTTGCGGATGGACTCCTCTTGTTCTGTCAACATTTGCTGAGATCTTTCTGATTTTTGAGTTTGCCTGCGGGTACCCACAGATGGGCACCCTTGGGATCTGGCAGGCAGAGGGGAGGCCTCTTTGCTCTTAGGCCGGGCAACCTCTCCACTCTGCTGCTGTAATTAGATGTGAAAGAAAACGGGGATGTGACATTTTCCATTTGAGCCCCGTCGGAAAGATGGTGAGCCAAGCACTTTGATGTCAGGGATGAAATGCAGGGTGGAAATGCAAATTCAGGAAGGTGTGTGATTTGTAGTGGGAGATGCATCTCCCCCCATGTCTCGGCCCTATAGGTCTCAGAAGGAGGTCTGCGGGGAGGGGAGCCGTGGACCACGCTGCCTCCTCCCCAGGGGCGCCCTGGGCTCCCCGCCCGGCTTGCATCTCCCTGCCTGGTGGGGCATCGCTTGTCCCAGCCTGGGGATCCCTGCTACCCTCCTGGGTGCTCACCTCACAACCTTATAATAACAATCACCCCTCCTTTTGCTCCACTCCGTGGTCAACAAAGTGCCCTTCCAGCCACAGCTCCATCAGGAGACGAGGAAGAAGGTTCCCCCGCTTCCCTCCTAGTTGAGGGTGTGTGGCACCTTCAGCAATTGAGCCAATCCAGCCCCCTGCCTGCCCTGTACCCAAGCCATCTGTCAGACACACTCCACATTTCCCCCAGGGGCGGACGGAGCAGGCAGACAGCTGCGGCCAACGGGACTATCTCCGTCGGGACTTGCAGACCCCGAAGGGTGATTCTGCGCCACCTGACTGTCCTCAGTCCTCTGCTCCGACGTAAGAGCATCCTGGGCTGCGGGCCACCCTGGAGGATGAGGTGCTCGTGGGGCAGAGTCCCCCGAAAAGCCAGGCCAGGCCCGGATGGTGCATGCTGGTGAGAATTGTCATGTGTGCTGTTCCCCACGGGGGGTGGGGAGTTAACTGTCCCCAGGCAGGTCTCAGAACGGGCCTGGCGTTTGTCTGGTCTCTGTCCTTTCTACTTGCTTACCTCTGTCCTGGGAATGCAACCTGATTTAAATGTCTGTCATACACAGAGAGGAGAGACCGAGGCGGGGGCCAGGCGTGCAGGACCAGTGGCCTCTGTCAAGCTCTGGTTTTCTCCGCGTCTGCCTCGGGTTTCCCTTTTTGTTCGGGGACATGTTCAAATTCAAGGGGCAGGAGACCGAGCCGGGGGAGGGCCGGGGCTGGAAGCTGTTGGCGGGGCGTGAAGGTCGCAGGGCCGTCGGGGGTTGAGGGCACGTGCGTCATCAGGAAACAATCCTGGAGAGTCTTGGGCAGCGTCGGCCACAGCTGCCCACACACTCCAGTGACCCGGTGTCCTCTGCCGTGTCCACACTCACGGGAAATGCACACGCGTCTCCACCATGAAGCACG